TTGTAGTTGCGCCAAAGATCTGCAGTAGGGAAAGTTGTCAGTAAAATTTAAGTATTGAAAATCAGATCTACTCAAAAAAAAAAAAAAAAAAGTCTAATAAAAGTCTTATACAGGCTTAGTTTTTAAGTCAGATGCCCTTCCTGGTCTTAAAAGGTCTTAAAAATCATATCCTCAACTTTCAGTTTATTTCGGGTAATTCTTGTTCACATCCAAAATCATGGAGAGGTGGAAAGTTAAAGCCACACTTCGGAACTTTCTCCAAGGAGACAGACAAGTTTAGTGGAATATTATCGTCAAATGAACAAAATTTTGATGAAAACAAGGCCAAAAAGAGTCGGGTTTGTGGAGACGCAAGCCCGTGAAATGAAAAACGCTTTGATTTTAGTCTATTTTGTGGTAAAAAAGTTCCATATTATGGCTTTAATAAACATTTAGTCTTACCTTTATTTGTTTCAGTGTATTATTTAATTCATATTTTCTTTACGAACGAGCTTTAAGTTATCGAAAATTCCTTCTGGAGGCTTTTTGTGGATTTTACGCAGCAATAAAATGACGCAGAAAAGAAATTTAAACCTGTATTCGTGTTTTTACGTCTCAAATAAGTGCAATTTTCGCTCTTTTAGAAGGAATTTGACACAGGAATCTCTTATCCAAATATCCCTTCGTGATTTTATTGTGAAAATCCCGAGATACCGGATCGTTTCCCGTCTGTCCGTGTTGATGTGTCCCGTTGGGTGAGGCTTGGGTCTGCGCTGTTTTTCTCCTTTATGCATGAACCAAAACACTTGAAACTTTCGCTCACCTCCCGCTACACAATCCTGCATCTTAACTTGAATTTTCCGCAGCGAAACGCGTATTTATTGCGCACGTTTTTCGCGAAATCACCCGCGTTTGTGCCTTTGACTCGCTAGCGTCAAAGCTACGGGTCGAGACGAGGAGGCGCTGCACCTGCCACTATTTTTACATTTTCCCAAACGACGGGGTATTTTTAAGGATTACGAAAATACACACACGTTTTTAAGAAGGAAATCTAACAACTTTTGCTGTTTTTACCATTTTCCAACGCGTGTATTTAAGAGAACGAGCCGTAAAAACAGACAAAGACCATGAAGTAAGCCGTGCGCTTTTGGAGAGGGTGGAGATGCGTAAAAGTGACCGATGTTGGCGTGTTTTGGGATATTTTTAACCGGGAAAAAGCTGCTGAGTGTGGACTTTGGACATGGCGTCTCCCAAAGCGAAGAGTGTGCTCCAGAATGAGGCCGGGAAAGAGGGCAAAGTCAGTCCCGGGAAAGGAGAAGGGGAGGCGGCGCAGGCGAACCGGATGTACTGCCTGGACGAGCTGGAGACCGTGGCCACAGTTGGTGAGTGAAATTGAAATGAAAACGAAAGACCAAAAGTTAATCCTGATTTAATCCAGAAAAAACGCACTGCCACAGAGGTGAACAATAATAATAATATTGGTTTAGTCCTGGTTAAGACCTTGTTTAGTCCTAGTTTAGATCTGATCTGGACCTGGCTTAGTTTTGGGTTTAAGTCTAATTTGTTATGATTATTGTAGACCCGGTTTATTACTGGTTTAGTCCTGGTTTAGTCCTGGTTTAATGGTTTGGACCTGGTCTGGACCCAGTTTTGTCTTAGTCCAGGTTTAGATCTGTTTTGGACCTGGTTTAGTCCAGGTTTAGATCTATTTTGGACCTGACTTAGTCCTAAGTTTAAGTCTGTTTGTTATGATTATAGTAGACCCAGTTTAGTCCTGGTTTAGTTCTAGTTTAGTCCTGGTTTAGACCTTCTTTAGAACTTGTTTAATGGTTTGGGCCTGGTCTAGACCTAATTTTGTCTTAGTCCTGGTTTAGATCTGTTTTGGACCTGACTTAGTCCTAAGTTTAAGTCTGTTTGGTATGATTATAGTAGACCCAATTTTGCCCTGGTTTAGTCCTTGTTTAGTCCTGGTTTAGTCCTGGTTTAGTCTGGGTTTAGTCCGGGTTTAGTCCGGGTTTAGACCTTGTTTAATCTTAGTTTGGACCTGGTCTGGACCTAATTTTGTCTTAGTCCTTGTTTAGTCCAGCTTTAAGTCTGATTTGGTCCTGGCTTAGTCTTAACTTTAAATCTGTTTATTATGATTATAGTAGACTCAGTTTTTCTCTGGTTTAGTCCTGGTTTAGACCTTGTTAAATCTTGGTTTGGACCTGGTCTAGACCCAATTTTGTCTTAGTCCTAGTTTATTCCAGGTTTAGATCTATTTTGGACCTGACTTAGTCCTAAGTTTAAGTCTGTTAGGTATGATTATAGTAGTCCTGGTCTAGTCTTGGTCTAGTCCTGGTCTAGTCTTGGTCTAGTCCTGGTCTAGTCCTGGTCTAGTCCTGGTTTAGTCCTGGTCTGGTCTAGTCCTGGTCTAGTCCTGGTCTAGTCCTGGTTTAGTCCTGGTTTAGTCCTGGTTTTATCCGTATCAGTTTGAATGAAAATGATGATTACATAATCAGTGGTGGAATGAAATGAAATAAAAGTATTAAAGTGCTGTACTTAACCCTTCCAGACCTGAGGGCATTTTTAGTACATCTGTCCTCCTTCGTTTTGTTAAAACTCCTCATTTTTACTCCCTAATGAAGTGTTATACGTCCTTTTTCTCAGTACAACCTGTTATTTCACAATCTGCTGCTGTGGTTGTGTCATACGGCTGTAATAAAAACTACAGGACCAGAAACACAAATGAAAAAAGTAAACGGAAAATAAAATTCATACAGCAAACATGTATAAATAAGTTTTGGACATAAAAAATGCTTAATTTAGCGACAAAAGTGCAAAATATCAAGTCTGTAAGTAAACTAAAAATATAGTTATTGCCTCAAAACAAAACAAAAGTGGCCCTTTCCTGGTGCCAGTCGTGGAAACAGAGCCACATCACTTTCTTGCTCCTCATGTCCTATAACATCTTTAACTGTTGATTTGGGAAGAAATATGAATTATTTCCTTTGCCGTTTGCCATGAGCATAATTTGTAACACAACACAAGAAACGTAGAAAGTAGGGGTGTGCAAAAATATCAATATATCGTATCGTTTAATGTGATGATACAGTATCGATATCGTGGGCTACTGTATTGATATTTCACCAAGAGTATTTTTAGGTGTGTTTTACTAAATTATTTTGTTACAGCTACAGTTTTGTGGCTTGTGGAGTGAAAAGAAACTCATTTATGTGACACATTTGACATTTTTACTGTTTTGATGATTAAAATGTTTGTTGCACAAGAAGTGGTTTAACAAAGAATTTTAGTGTCACAGCCACGATTTAGACTTTATTTTTTATTGAACCGTATCGAATCGATTTGAAATATATCATATCAAATCGAAAGTTCACTGTATCGAGGTATGTATCGTATCGGCAACTTCTTAATGATACCAGCCCTATTAGAAAGCTACAGAATTTGTTCAAAAACCATTCAGTCACGTTTTGGAAGGTCTTAACTAAGTATTTAATTGAAAAATGTCAGATAATATCCTGACATAGTTGTGGCACTCACTCCAAAATGTTTTTTTTTGTATATGTATATAGATGAACTGATTTAGTTTCATATAGGGGACAATTCAGGGGGAACTTTCCAGCTTGGGGACCTTCCAGCCAGGGTGACTTTCCAGCTTATTTCCACAATTAACCAGACCAAGATGCATAATTTTAGCCAGGCTGGCGCCACCTAGTGCCTCCGCTCAATTTATTTCCTCTCCAGCAACTAGGTCAGGAATCAAAATACACTAGACAGTTCGCAAAAACCCCGGAAATGCGAGTTTGGGCACCAGCCAATCAACAAAGAGCGATGTATTCTGTGGTGTCAACGATTCCCGAGATCGAGGATTTAAAGCCGGAATAAAGAGAATGTGTGGTGAATTTTATCAAGGGGAAAGACGTTATTGTCCTGGGATTGGGGAAAAAATTAATATACCAGTTAGCCTCGTTAGCGGCGCATTACATACATGACAACTAAAGAGCAGCGACTGGTTAAATGATAAAAAGTACCCACCTACTGTCGAGCGAATGAAATCTAAGACTGCAAGGTCAGATGGTTTGTACCAAGTAAAACCGGCTGATGAATCAGGCTCGCGTAATTTGCCGTTTATTTGAGAAATAACTGCACTCAGAGCGGCTTTTCTAATTGTTACGAACACAGACGCTCAGAGCAGTCGATCATCTTGACTCACTACACTCTTTGGCAAAGTTTGGGCCAATCAAAATGGACGGAGCGCATGAGTTCGGCCGAAAACAAAGTTCCTATTGGACACTCGTTTTTCCGAAGCGTATGACATAGGATAATGCCGGAAATATGCACGGAAAACTGAAAGTCTTATCTTTCAAAGGGAATAAAAAGTAAGTTTCTATCTTTTATGGCTGGAAAGTTATGCACTTTTATATAAAACATAGTCGTCGGTCTGGAAGAGTTACGTAAACATTTTCAATTTAAATTTTAAGTGCATTTTTCAGTGGGTATTTTTTACTTTTACTTCACTCCATTTAAGAGCAGGTGTCTGTACTTTCTACTCCACTATATTTCTGAACTGGACCGAAAAGTAAAAGTATTTTAATTATAGTTTAAGACCTTCGAAAAGTTTATAGTGCAATGAAACAAAAAATATACAAATAATAAAAACAGATCAAATAAAAAGATCGATTCAGTTGTTTCTATTGAACAAAATTCTGCACAAAATCACTACATTTGAAGCTTTATTAGATCCCAAAATATCAGCAAAATACTTTTACTTTAGTAGATTTTTTGTTGGTATAATTTCACTTCTGGTATTTTTTTGCTCTTGTATCAAAGTATGAAAACTGAGTACGTCTTAAACCACCGTAAACCGTCATTAATTTCTCATGCGAGGGGAGCGGTGCGTGGAAATTAAAATGAAAATGAAAAGACCAAAAGTTAATCCTTATTTAATCCAGAATATACGCGTTAAAAGCTCCGCTAAAGAGGTAAAAATGTCAAGAGAGCTTCTTATTTTAAACACCGGAGCCGGCGATTACCAGTGTTTCCCGTAGAGTTTGTGGATTAAAACTGTCACTTATTTCTATTTCTGTTTTTTTTTTTTCATAATCTTTAATTTTGAACCGTGTAATCTCTTTTTATAAATTTGTAATAATCCATCGACATCGACTATTAAAAAACGATTAAATGTTCGTGTTAACTCGCTCCACATGATCCAAACTTGTAGCTTTTTTTCGTAAATATGAAATTCAAATTGAGGTAAATATTGGATTTTTGGAAGTAAAGTTTTGAGGAATTTTGTGTCAAGTTAAACTGTATATTGGTTTTTCTCTTCTGTAATGTACAAATACTTCATCTTACTACTACTACTACTACTACTACTACTTCTATTACTACTGCTACTACTACTAGGCTTACGTTAATTTAATTACTACTACTATAAGAACTCTTTAACAATTACTGTACTGCATTTACTAATTTTTACTGCTACTTGTACTACTACTGCAACTACTACTATTACTACTGTTACTGTTATTATTACTACTATTACTACTACTACCAGTATTACTACTACTACTACTACTACAACTAGGCCTACTTCAATTTAATTTAACTTTTACTACAACTTGTTTGCAATTACTGTGCTACATCTACTTGTTTTACTGCTACTTGTACTACTACTACTACTACTACTACCAATATTACTACTACAGCCACCACTAATACTTCTACAACTACTACTACTACTACTACTACTACCAATATTACTACTACAGCCACCACTAATACTTCTACTACTACTACTACTACTACTACTACTACCAATATTACTACTACAGCCACCACTAATACTTCTACAACTACTACTACTACTACTACTACTACTACTACTACTACTACTATGAGGCCTACTTTAATGTAATTACTACTACAACTCATTTGTAATTACTGTACGACATCTACTCATTTTACTGCTTCTTGTACTACTACTACTACTATTACTACTGATACTACTAGTAGTTCTATTACTACTCTATAACTAGGCCTACTTTAATTTAATTACTACTACAACTTATTTGCAATTACTGTAATGTACAATGTAATTGTGTGGTTATTGGATCCTAACAGCAGAAAACGGCTCGAGAAACGGGCTTCGGAAGTTTGCGAACTCCATAAATGCAAAAGTGAATCAGATGTGTGTGACTCAAAACCTCTGTTCAAACTGTTTCTCTTCCCAACGGAATTGAAAAATAGTGAAAGGTGAAGGCGATGGGCAGGACTGATCCACAGGAAGAACCAAAAATTTGTCTAAGAAATCATCCCGAGTTTACAGCGAACATTTTGTATGTGGAGCGACAACAAAACAAAATCCCGTTTGTTAATCAAG